CACTGACACACTGGCACTGACACACTGACACACTCACACTGACACATTGACACTGGCACTGCCACATTGACGCTTCCACATTGACACTGACACACGCACTACTATTGACACACTGGCACTGCCACATTGACGCTTCCACATTGACACTGACACACGCGCTACTACTGACACACTGGCACTGACACACGCGCTACTACTGACACATTGACACTGACACACTGGCACTGACACATTGACACTGACACACTGACACACTGGCACTGACACATTCACACTGACACATTTACACTGACACACTGGCACTGACACACTGGCACTGACACACTGTTACTGACACATTGACACTGACACACTCACACTGACACACTGACACACTGACACACTGGCACTGACACACTGGCACTGACACATTGACACTGACACACTGACACACTCACACACTCACACACTCACACTGACACATTGACACTGGCACTGCCACATTGACACTTCCACATTGACACTGACACACGCACTACTATTGACACACTGGCACTGACACATTGGCACTGACACATTGGCACTGGCACATTGACACTGACACACTGACACACTAGCACTGACACACTGGCACTGACACACTGGCACTGACACATTGGCACTGACACACTGGCACTGACACACTGGCACTGACACATTGGCACTGACACACTGGCACTGTCACATTGACACACTGATACATTGACACTGACACACTGGCACTGACACATTGGCACTGACACACTGGCACTGACACATTGACACACTGATACATTGACACTGACACATTGACACTGACACATTGACACTGACTCACGCGCTACCACTGACACATTGACACTGACACATTGACACTGACACGCTGGCACTGACACATTGACACTGACACACTGGCACTGACACATTGACACTGACACACTGACACACTGACACTGACACACGCGCTACCACTAATACACTGGCACTGACACATTGACACTGACACACTGGCACTGACACACTGGCACTGACACACTGACACTGACACACTGGCACTGACACATTGACACTGACACACTGGCACTGACACACTGGCACTGACACACTGGCACTGACACATTGACACACTGACACATTGACACTGACACATTGACACTGACTCCCGTGCTACCACTGACACATTGACACATTGACACTGACACGCTGGCACTGACACATTGACACTGACCCACTGGCACTGACACACTGACACTGACACATTGACACTGACACACTGGCACTGACACATTGACACTGACACACTGACACTGACACACGCGCTACCACTGATACACTGGCACTGACACACTGGCACTGACACATGCGCTACCACTGACACATTGACACTGACACACTGACACTGACACACTGGCACTGACACACTGACACTGACACACGCGCTTCCACTGCCACACTGACACGCCGACACTGACACACTGACACTAAAGCATGCGCTGCCACTGACACACTGACATGCTGACGCAACAACAACAATCGCCATTCGCCACTAAGTGGCGGTGACGTCACCACCACGCTTGTGCCAGGCTATGTGCACCTTGAGGCCACGTGAAGTGTCGAACGCCTGCTGGCAGGAGGCCACGGGGCAGACCCAGGTGCCACGAGTTGACTGACTGAGATGACTGGCTGATGCACCACCTGTGCCCCCTACTGTGCCAACTTGCTGTGCTTTTGCCACCCGGCGCTCCGCTCATTGTTGTGAGCGTCGCTCCGCCGCCCTCCTTTGTTATTGGAGGGCGACTGCCTCCAACTGCCCAGCAGCGTCCTTTACGAGCCTCCTCCACAGAGGCCGATCTTGACACTGCTGGTACCAGTCATCGGCAAGTCCACTCAGCTCCACGTCCTCCTGTACCACATCACTCCATCTCTTTTCTAGCCCGTGTCGCGTCCGTTTCGCCCCCTCTATCCGACCGAACAAAAGCTGTTTATGCATGCGGTGACTGGGCATGCGGACTACATGACCCAGCCAACGCGGCCTTGCCTGCTGGAGGAGCTCACTGATGGGACTTTGCCCAGATCTTTCAAGGATTTGTGAGCTCACACAACCCAGCCTGGTTAAACCCAGGATGGATCTTAGGCAGGCTAGCCTAAATTTTTCCAATCTGCGAAGATGTTCCATTAGGGGAGTCCACGTTTCGCAAGCGTAGAGAAGGGGGGGAATGACCGTGGCCGAGAAGACCTGAAGCTTAGTGCGGAGCGACAGACCAGGTAGCTTCCACACAGCGTTAGGCAACCGATGAAAAGATATTGCCGCTTGACTGATTCTGAGTCAGACCTCTGCTGTCAAACCGGAGCCAGTCATGAGCACACTGCCCAGGTATGGGAAACTCTCCACTCTCTCCACAACTGCCCCATCACCGATTGGGAGTTGTGGGGGTGGGTTGCCCGATGGTACAAAATACCCAGGCAGGTTCTTCGTTTTGGTGGGGTTGCTCCAGGTTCAGCAGCAGCACCTCCAACTCCTCTTCTGAGTAAGCGGCAATTACCAGATCATCGGCATACATGACATGGTTGACCAATAGGGAGCCATCCCTTGACCGCACCCGGGCATCGATCAGCCTCCCATTGTATCTGTACCAGATGGAAATTGCTCTGGTACAGCCATCAAAGGCTTCACGGACTACGTGGTTGAAAAAGATGTTAAATAATGTGGGAGCCAGAGGACATCCCTGTCGCACCCCAAGGTGAACAGGGAATGACTCCGACTCCTGGCCACGTAGTTTTACCCGGGCCCGCTCACCATCATGAAGGTCCTTAATGATCGTGAGCAGAGGGGCAGGGACTCCAAAAGCACGAAGAACTACCCAGAGCCCAGGCCTACTGATGGTATCATAGGCCTTGACCAAGTCAATAAAGCAGAGATGTAGGTCTTGTTGGAATTCCCTACACCTCTGCTGTAGCAAACGGACAGAAAATATGGCATCTGTGCAGGACCGCCCTTTCCTGAAACCACGTTGGGGCTTCGCAAGCCTCTCCTCAGCGTGCCTGGCAAGACGATGTTGAATAATCCTTGCCAGGACCTTTCCCGGCACACTGAGGAGTGAGAAGCCCCTGTAGTTGTTACAGTCTGTGCGGTCCCCCTTTTTAAAGAGGGGGACCACAAGGGCATCCTTCCAATCCTGCGGAACCCGTCCAGTGGTCCAGACTGTTGATATGATGTCATGTAGGGCAGTCTGTGCACAAACGCCACCCTCCCTCAGCATTTCGCTTGGGAGATCATTTCTGCCTGGTGCCTTTCCTGGTCTCAGACTCTGGATCGCCTTTAGTACTTCCTCAACAGATGGCACCTCAGCCAGCCGCTCACAGGAGGTGACTTCTTCAAATATTTGAGGCACCGCAACCTCAGCAGGGTCATCCTCACTTTGTCCCACGGTGTTTTCCATGTCGAGGGATTTCCCCTCACCCAGGACTTCACAGAAATGCTCAGCAAATCTGCAAACCTGTTCCTGGGGGTCGGAGATTGGATCACCGTTCTTCCCCCTAATGATGGTAAGAGGTGTGGCACTGCCGGTTACTTTTTTGATGGAGTTAAATAGGGATTTGTGATCATTGGCCATTAATGCAGACTCCATCTCCTCAGCAACCCGTGACCACCACCCATCCTTGCAGCGCCTCGGCTCTCCGAACCTCCGAGCGATGGCTGCGGTAAGCCTCCTCATTCTCTGACATGGGATGCTGTAGACGATTAGAGTAGGCTTGTCGCTTTTTCTCAACCATCCTAAACACCTCCTTTGTCAGCCAGGGTATCTGGAGAGGTCTGGACCGCGTACTCAAAGCAGCCATTGCAGCTGCATGAGTCACAGTCCTAAACCTCGCCCATTTACCCTCGACATCAGGAGGAGTGGGGGACGATGCCAACCCCAGCCTCAAGCGATGATGAAATTCTTGCTTACAACTTTCATCAGCTTGCTGAGACCAGGCCACCTTAGGTTGGAATGGGGTCCTGGGTGTACACCCACCACCGGAGCGGAGGAATTGGCAGGTGCATCTTACAGATGACAAGTCGATGGTCAGAGGGCAGATCAGCTCCACGGTAGGTCCTGGTGTCAAGGACATGGGCTCGCATCCGCTGTTCCATCACTATGTAGTCCAGCAGATGTTCTTGCTTGGACCCGGCATGCATCCATGATGTTGTGTGGATGCGCCGATGCCGGAAAAGCGTGTTGGTAAGCTGATCTGGCCCATGCCTTCCAATCACTCCAGACCAGGTGCCAGCATCATGGCCAACTCGGGCATTGAAGTCACCCAACAAGATGACTATCCCGAGTGGCCGCTTTAGCCAGCACCTGTGACAGGAGGTCATAGAAGGCATCTGACTCATCGGCCTTGCCTGCATCCCTCCACGGATGTTCGTCTTCAGTGGGGACATAAGTAACCACGACCACCACTCCTCGCCTCCAGTTGATGGGAAGGCGCACTGACATGCGTTACCACTGACAAACTGACACACACGCTACCACTGACACACACGCTACCACTGACACACTGACACCGAAGCATGCTCTGCCACTGACGCATTGACACACGCTCTACCACTGACAAACAGAAACGCTGACACACTGACACTGACATACGCGCTACCAATGACACTGAAGCATGCACTGCCACTGATACATTGACATTGGCACACGCGCTACCACTGACACACTGACACTACAATTGACCCACTACGTCACCACGGCGCTTCTGCCCGGCTACTTTGAGGCCACGTGAAGTGTCGAATGCTCGCTGCTGACAGGTCACAGAACACACCCAGGTATCATGACTGAGATGACTGGCAGATGCACCAACTGTGCTCCCCACTGGCAACTTGCTGCGTCTTAGCGCCCAGCGCTCCGCTCGTTGCTGTGAGTGTTGCTCCTTTTCCCTCCACTTAGGCTACGTACGGTGCGAAAAAAGTTCATCGTACGTACACACACACTCACGCACATTGTTCTCTCGTGCAGGTGGCCATGGGTGACTTGCTGGTCCTTCTGTGCGGAACCACGGAAGAGGATCGCTTTCCTCTCTGGATGAACGGATCCGTTGGCCACTGTTTGAATCAAGTGGCTTTGAACGTGCCCTCGCATGCTCTCCTGGCCATGAGCTCGGCATTCTTTATGGGAAAATACAGGTATTTGGTTGTTTTACTTTAATATAATTTATACATCAGAGAAGCTATGTTTTTTAAATTACGTTGACTGACAGGTCAAAGCATACCCATTTATAAATTGGGCGCCTCGGTGGAGAAATGTTAACCACCTCGCCTGGTATATAGGAGGTCGTGGGTTCCACCCAAACCCTAACGTCTATATATTTGTAGTTTGCATGTCTCTCTCCCCATGGCCGTATTCTGATTTTTCCCTCCACATTTAGAATCAACATGCGTTTAGAGTATTTGGCGCCTTCAGACAATAGTGGAAGGTGCCTTACAAATAAATGTAAATTATGATACATTTTCACATGATAAGCCACTTCATTGGACTCGTGATTATTTGTGGCCAGGTCGCTTCTGAAAAGTGCTATATAGCTCAGTGGGCCTTACCTGGTAAAATAAAAATAGTTTAGTTTTTAGTTTAAATTAAGACTGAGCATCTCATCCCCTTTGGTGGTTTTGATCCAGTAGTAGATGCTATTTAGAAACAGGAATATGTAGGCAGTCAATCCCAGGCAGGGAGTCAACAGCATAGGTGGCTGGGGGAATGGACTTCCAGAAAAACCAAGGGGACTGACAAAAGGACCTCGTGACTGGTGCAGACTGTGAGCTAAGGACATGTTTACGTTGCTTTATGCAGTTTAACACGCAGGCTTTTGCGACCAATATTATCCAAAACACAGTTTTTGTTGGGTTACATCGCGTAAGTATAAATGTGTCGATAAACCTGCCACCACCCAACAGAGTCCATCAGTAATGTTATGTCACGTCAACAAAACTTGCCAATTAGTTACCACTCCAGCACACCGGTGTGCTGGAGAGATAAACCCGCAGTATTTACAAATCGAGTACAACGTTTCGCTGGCCATGATAACCAGCCTCATCAGGAGATAGTCAGAGTTGTGGAGAATTCCTGTTATTGATTGTTACAACCGACTACATGGAATGTTTGTGGACACTAATTGACTCTTACTCATCTGTACTCTGTTACATTATTGTCATGCTGAGAATACATTTTCCCCTTTTTTCTGGCAACAAAACAGGTGTTAAGATTTTGATTTGAAGTTTTCGTGACTGCAGTAATTCATATTCTTAGCTCTTTTGGTAAAGTCACGTTGAAGGGAAACAATAAAATAATAAAATATATATAAAAAATAAAAATTCTCACGACGTTTCGACCATAACACAAACGGTCGTCATCAGGTGTGTCGGTTTGCATTAAATTATTTATATTTTTAAACGGTGTATTTAATTATAAAAAAAAACGTCAGCGCCACGCGCAGCGGTTTGGCAATTTATTTAGAAGGACTAGTCCATCTATGTTCTGAAAAGAGGAGGGGGGAGACGAAAAATTAATGTATGCTGTCTGAAAGCCACTGTAAGCGTGAACAATCAATTAAGACCTGAAATGGTTAATCAAATCTTTCCAATGATTGCTAAGCCAGAATCCATCTTCTCGGTTGAAATTGTCTCTGTGCTTGTATATGTGGATAGCCTCATGAACGAATCTCTCATGGTAGCCAGATGGCTTACAAAGAACCTCCGTCTTGGAAAAGTCAATGTCATGTGAGCCTACTGAATTATAACAATGATCTGCCACGGCCGAGGTGTTGGTCCTACCGTGTTTAAGGTCTGCTTTGTGTTCACGAATGCGGTCCGAGACATGGCGTTTGCTTTCTCCAATGTAACTACTACCACAGAGGCAACTTAGTTTGTAGACACCAGGGTACTGTATGTCCGGAATCACATCTTGTACAGACAGAACCAGATCACGGATTTTATGTAATGTGTTGAAACGGACCTGGATCTTGTGTTTATTCAAGATTTTGGAGCTCTTTTTTGTGATCACTTTACCCTACATTGCGGGGATCACAAAAAAGATCTCCAAAATCTTGAATAAACACAAGATCCAGGTCCATTTCAACACATTACATAAAATCCGTGATCTGGTTCCGTCTGTAAAAGATGTGATTCTGGACATACAGTACCCTGGTGTCTACAAACTAAGTTGCCTCTGTGGTAGTAGTTACATTGGAGAAACCAAACGCCATGTCTCGGACCGCATTCGTGAACACAAAGCAGACCTTAAACACGGTAGGACCAACACCTCGGCCATGGCAGATCATTGTTATAATTCAGTAGGCTCACATGACATTGACTTTTCCAAGACAGAGGTTCTTTGTAAGCCATCTGGCTACCATGAGAGATTCGTTCATGAGGCTATCCACATATACAAGCACAGAGACAATTTCAACCGAGAAAATGGATTCTGGCTTAGCAATCATTGGAAAGATTTGATTAACCATTTCAGGTCTTAATTGATTGTTCACGCTTACAGTGGCTTTCAGACAGCATACATTAATTTTTCGTCTCCCCCCTCCTCTTTTCAGAACATAGATGGACTAGTCCTTCTAAATAAACTGGCAAATCGCTGCGCGTGGCGCTGACGTTTTTTAAATAAATAAATGCACCGTTTGAAAATTTAAATAAATAAATGCAAACCGACACACCTGATGACGACCGTTTGTGTTATGGTCGAAACGTCGTGAGAATTTTTATTGTTTTATATATTTTATTATTTTATTATTTCCCTTCAACGTGACTTTACCGAAAGAGCTAAGAATAGGTGTTAAGATGTTAAGATGTTGGCATCCTCTGGTCTAACACCGTTTGAGACTAGGCTCAAAAGAAAGCTGTCTATGGTGTGGACCAATCATTTTCAAAGACAATGCATATATTATCAGAGTATGTTTTTTGTTTGCATTCTGACCACAAGATTTGTGGTTAATGCAGACATGATCCCTCTTAAAAGGTTTCAGTTTGGTGTTTTAACATCTTAACACCTGTTTTGTTGCCAGAAAAAAGGGGAAAACCTATTCTGATATTTTGGTACTGGCAAAGGAGGTCCCATGATATTGTCATGCTCTTTTACAACACTTTAATTAAATCGAGTATTGCTTTGCACACAGTTTGTACCTTGATGTGAATGTTTTTCTTTTTAAGTTTAGCCAGCAACCAATCTCTCTGATTACAGTGAGGGAAAAAAAGTTTTTGATCCCCTGCTGATTTTGTACGTTTGCCCACTGACAAAGAAATGATCAGTCTATAATTTTAATGGTAGGTTTATTTGAACAGTGAGAGACAGAATAACAACAACAAAATCCAGAAAAACGCATGTCAAAAATGTTATAAATTGATTTGCATTTTAATGATGGAAATAAGTATTTGACCCCCTCTCAATCAGAAAGATTTCTGGCTCCCAGGTGTCTTTTATACAGGTAACTAACTGAGATTAGGAGCACACTCTTAAAGGGAGTGCTCCTAATCTCAGCTTGTTACCTGTATAAAAGACACCTGTCCACAGAAGCAATCAATCAATCAGATTCCAAACTCTCCACCATGGCCAAGACCAAAGAGCTCTCCAAGGATGTCAGGGACAAGATTGTAGACCTACACAAGGCTGGAATGGGTTACAAGACCATTGCCAAGCAGCTTGGTGAGATGGTGACAACAGTTGGTGCGATTATTCGCAAATGGAAGAAACACAAAAGAACTGTCAATCTCCCTCGGCCTGGGGCTCCATGCAAGATCTCACCTCGTGGAGTTGCAATGATCATGAGAACGGTGAGCAATCAGCCCAGAACTACACGGGAGGATCTTGTCAATGATCTCAAGGAAGCTGGGACTATAGTCACCAAGAAAACAACTGGTAACACACTACGCCGTGAAGGACTGAAATCCTGCAGTGCCCGCAAGGTCCCCCTGCTCAAGAAAGCACATATACATGCCCGTCTGAAGTTTGCCAATGAACATCTGAATAATTCAGAGGACAACTGGGTGAAAGTGTTGTGGTCAGATGAGACCAAAATGGAGCTCTTTGGCATCAACTCAACTCGCCGTGTTTGGAGGAGGAGGAATGCTGCCTATGACCCCAAGAACACCATCCCCACCGTCAAATATGGAGGTGGAAACATTATGCTTTAGGGGTGTTTTTCTGCTAAGGGACCAGGACAACTTCACCGCATCAAAGGGACGATGGATGGGGCCATGTACCGTCAAATCTTGGGTGAGAACCTCCTTCCCTCAGCCAGGGCATTGAAAATGGGTCGTGGATGGGTATTCCAGCATGACAATGACCCAAAACACAGGCCAAGGCAACAAAGGAGTGGCTCAAGAAGAAGCACATTAAGGTCCTGGAGTGGCCTAGCCAGTCTCCAGACCTTAATCCCATAGAAAATCTGTGGAAGGAGCTGAAGGTTCGAGTTGCCAAACGTCAGCCTCGAAACCTTAATGACTTGGAGAAGATCTGCAAAGAGGAGTGGGACAAAATCCCTCCTGAGATGTGTGCAAACCTGGTGGCCAACTGCAAGAAACATCTGACTTCTGTGATTGCCAACAAGGGTTCTGCCACCAAGTACTAAGTCATGTTTTGCAGAGGGGTCAAATACTTATTTCCCTCATTAAAATGCAAATCAATTTATAACATTTTTGACATGCGTTTTTCTGGATTTTGTTGTTGTTATTCTGTCTCTCACTGTTCAAATAAACCTACCATTAAAATATAAACTGATCATTTCTTTGTCAGTGGGCAAACGTACAAAATCAGCAGGGGATCAATACTTTTTTCCCTCACTGTATATTCGTGAATTTTGTTGGTGGTGTTTTGGGCCTTTTGGGCCTCTGCTCAGCAACTGTGATAAATAATAAATAGAGAAAACACAAACCCCAATATAATGTGGACTCTGCGAGTATGCGATATGTATGTCAATGTTGTATAACGTGTGTAAGATGGACTAACCAGCGGGCGTGCGATGTTGTGTTTGTGTGCAGACACGATAGTCACATGCCCGTATCGTACGGCTGGGTGCTGAGAATCCTCACGTCGGCTTTGGTGGTGGCACTATTTTTCTGCGACCTCGTGTCGCTTTCCTTTGACTTTGATGTCAAAACGCGACACCTGGACATCATGGCTTCATGCGTCGCAGCGTTCGCTTGGCTGTTCCACTCCCTGGCACTGTCCTCCGTTGCTCAATCTGAGCTGTCCTTTTCCCGGGGACCGCCGCTGATCATCGTTGTCTGGCTCGCAACAATTCCCTCCGCAGTCATAAACGGAGTGGCTTTCTTCACGAGGCCCGAGTTCTGCGTTCTCGGGGCTGCAGCTTGTGTGCACAAAGTGGTAATGTGTGGCGTTCCAGTGCTCATGGCGGTCTATTTACTCTCACTGATTCCATCAAATCGTCTTGTGGCCGTTCATGAGGTGGAATCCATTAATGATGCAGGTGAAAGGACCGCGCTCTTAGGCAGTCGGAAAAGAAAAACTGAACAACTTTTTCCTGATGCTCGTCACCGACAGGCGGTGACTGAAGATAGTAGTAGCTTCATTTCAAAACTTTTGTACATTTGGTTAAACCCAGTAATGAAGCAAGGTTACAATGGAGAATTGAATAGCCCTGATGATATCCTTGAGTTGCCTGAAAACATGAAGGTATCATTTGTGTCTCAAGCGTTTAAAGACGTTTTGTATGCAGACAGTAACCAAACAAGGGATTGCATTCCTGAGGATGTCAGCCAGAGTAGCCCAACTGGGAAGAGATTGTGCATCAGCAAAGACGCGCCATTACTTGCTAGCCAGCCGAGACGCACTCTCTTTTGGTCCCTCTACAAGGTTTACGGCGTTCGCTATTTATCGATTGGTCTTCTCTACTTGATTGCCATTGTGCTCGGTCTGTTGGGCCCTGTCATTCTGCAATATTTGCTCTCCTTCATGGAGAACAGACAGGAGCCTGCCTCTCACGGCTACTACTACATTGCCGGCCTCTTTGGGACCACATTTTTTGGGGCTTTTTTCAACAATCAGTTCTCCTACCGGATCAACAAGATTGCCTTGTGCGTACGCGCAGCCCTGGTCACGACGGTTTATCGGAAATCATTGCGGGTCGGCGCGTCCTCCCTGTCCGAGTTCAGCACGGGAGAGATAGTGAACTACATGAGCACCGACACAGACCGCATCGTCAACTTCTGCCCAAGCTTCCACTCGTTCTGGAGCCTGCCTCTGCAGGTGGCCGTCTCTCTCCTGCTGCTCTACCAGCAGGTCGGCGTCGCCTTCCTGGCCGGCATCGCCGTCGCCATCTTGCTCGTCCCGCTGAACAAACTGATCGCGAATAAGATCGGAGGATTTAGCCAAGCGATGATGCACCACAAAGATGGAAGAGTCAAGGTTGGTTTGAACAAAACAACACCATTTCGATGTAACTTTACTTAACAATTTTTTTTTTATTTTACCAGGTAAGGTCCCTTAAGCTATATAGCTCTTTTTCATAAGCGTCCTGGCGACAAATGATAGCTCACCAAAGTGGTTTATAATTGGGAAATTGATTACAGCCATATACTCTAAACGCATGTTTCTAAATGTGGAGGGAATAACCGGAGCACCCGGCAAAAATGCACGCCACCACGACCTCCTGCATGCCAGGCGAGATAGATAACATCTTGCCACCATAGATGTGATGCATAATGACCACTATCGTCATTGTACAGAATATAATAAATTAAATAAGCAGACAATATGCCTCCTTCACACATCTGTACCCTCCACATAGATTTTTTTTAAACATTTATTTTGCACATCCTTTCAGCAACATGGCCTTCTGGGAGTGCATAATTTCAGCAGAATTTATTCAACACAATCAAAACGCTGGACCAGTTTTGATATGTAGTGTCTCATCAACAGGCTTACTTGAACCAATGCTGGTGAACTGCCCGATGTTTATAGGCAAGGACCCTCTCTATCATAGTTTTCTTTTCAATCGGTGCCAAATTGTCTGGCTCTCTTATAATTTAAGTAGTTTAGAAATGAAGTGGGTTCGTCACATATAAAACTCAACACCATGTTGGCGATTCACAGCTCATGACCGAGATTCTCTTCGGCATCCGTGCAATCAAGCTGCACTGCTGGGAGGAGAGCTTCTCGCGCAAAGTGAATGGGTTTCGCTCGGATGAGTTGAAGGGCCTCTTGGGCATGAAGTACCTGGACGCGCTGTGCGTGTACCTGTGGGCGGTGACGCCGGTGCTCATCTCCATCCTCACGTTCGTGACGTACGTCAGCCTTGGCAATGCCCTCACCGCAACGAAGGTAGGGGAGCGCGCTCGGTTGTTTCGTTGAAAAAAATGATGATAAAAGCCACGGAGTATGTGTGTGGTTTTGTTTTTTGCTGAATTCCACCTGCACGTAAACACAAGGGCATATAGTGAATCAGCATTGAGGCCTTTCGGGTTTCATATTCAACTTCAAGAGATGATATTTCCGGTGAAACTTAGTTCCGAAGAACAAGACGTCCTGACAGGTTTGGGTGAACAGCACCGAAAGATGAAAATACAAACCCTCTAGAGCTGAAGGGCCAAATGTTACATTCCAGTATGGGGGCAGGCTCACATCCCGAAAAAAGACGGAAAAATAACGTGAGAACAGGAAGAAGGTGCAAAATGATCAGAATGAGCTACATCATGGGATCTCCTTTGCCAGTACCAAAATATGAGAATAGGTTTTCCCCTTTTTTCTTGCCAGAAAAAAGGGGAAAACCTATTCTCATAATCAAAATGAGAATGTTTATTAATACTGGAGGAATCCAATGAGCTATGAAGCTCTTTTTCATAGTCCAGCAGAAGAGGGGATGAGAATAGCAGTGCCCGGCCGAAAAGGGAGGCGGTGGACTCGAAAGGTTAATTCTGCCGATCATACGTACGTACATACGTACGTTGAACTGCCTTCGCACCACACGTAGCCGACGATGATAATTGGAGGTGCCGGGAAGGACAACAAACCTAAACACTAAAAGCAGTTCTAAAGAAAAGGAGTCTGGAGCGGACCAACCCCTTAATGCACCATAACTCTCAGACCCTCCACAACAGGAGACTGCACCCACTCCGCCTCAGATGGAAGAAGGGCCTTTGTCCAAATCGTTGCTTATTATTATATACAGGTATACCTCAGTTTAACATGTAGGCTTTCGCGACCAATATTATTCATAATGAAAGTTTTTAGGTTAGATCGCAAAAGTATACTTACGACACATTTATACTTTCGCGATCTAACCCAAAAACCTTTATTCTGGGTTTTCCTCTTATAGCGCTGCCTCTTATAACGCCATTTTTTTATGGATGGAAAATTCCTGAGCGGAACAGCCCCCCATATATGGAAGAAAGTGGGCATGGCGTTGCCAGTAGGGGTGTGTTTCAGCCCATATACTGGTCTTGTGGAATCTGAATGGAGGTGCCTATTGTATCGATTCTGCTCAGTCGATGCGATAGCCACGTTCGAGTATTTATTCATGCAGGGTTCATCGCTGCATCCATTTATTGGTGATTCATGGCTTGAGTAATCCAATTGGTTACAATAGCATCCCATGGAGCGTGTGATTACGGCAGGCAGTGTGTAGAAGTCTTACTGTTTAGTTCCTTATATAGAGGCATAGATGTGTTGACCACCCTTCTGCGCTCTTGCACAATGTGGGGGGGATTACTGAGGCAACATACATTATGCATGTGCATTATGTGAGCCCTTTGAACTTGTCCTTCCTGTCTATTGTGTTTATGAAAATAGCCCTACCAACGATAATCCCTATTGAAGTATGCTGCCCTTTATATAAGGAACAAAACAATAAGACTTTACAAATCTGGCTGTCGCGTGATGAAGCTAGTTGTAATTACTGGAGAAACGTCATACTCAGTTTGTAAATGTTGTGGCTTTGCTCTCCAACACACAGTGTGCTGTACTAGTGACGAATTGGCATGTTCTGTTTACGTGACAACCCTTACTCGTTGGCTGTGTCGGGTGGTGGCGGGTTTTAACGACATTTATATATTTACGCGATCTAACCCAAAAAAACAATAGGGTTTTTCCCCTTTTTTCTGGCAACAAAACTGAAACCTTTTTTTACAAGGATTCATGTCTGCATTAACCAGAATACTTGCAGTCAAAATGCAAACAAAAAACACGCTGATAATATATGCATTGTCCTTGAAACTGATTGGTCGCCAAAAGGCATTCGAACGCCTTTTGGCGTCATCTGGTCGAGCACCAATTGAGACCAGGCTCTAAGGAAAGCTGTCTCTGGTGTGGACCAATCAGTTTCAAGGACAATGCATATATTATCAGTGTGTTTTTTGTTTGCATTTTGACTGCACGTATTGTGGTTAATGCAGACATGAATCCTTGTAAAAAAAGGTTTCAGTTTTGTTGCCAGAAAAAAAGGGGAAAAACCCTATTATTATATTTTGGTACTGTCAAAGGAGGTCCAATTATCCAAATAAACCTTATGGATATTGGTCGTGAAAGCCTATGTGTTATAAAGTGATTTTTTTTGTTATAAAATGCTTTAATACATTTATCATGTGGACAGTATCATTTTATTACTGATTCCCCAATGAAGCTTCCCTAATGAAGCCCTCATCGCTCATAGGTAAAAAGTATTGGTCGGGAACGCATCCCCATTGGAACCGTGTTATTGTGACCTTTTAGCGCTGTTTTCTATAGTGACTAATTTACCAAGACTGCATTCTTCAGCGCTATAGGAGGTATGCCTGTATATATTTTAAGGCCTCGGTGTTTTTGAAAAATGTGTTCAGTTTTATGTCCTTTTACAATATTTCCACCGCTCTCACCCACTTGTACGCGAAAGACGTATCGAGAACTTTAGAGCGAAATCTCTTGTAAATTTGATCTGGTTTCATTGGAAGCGTAATTTACACAATGCCGCTGTCCCACGCACGCTCTTTGCTGCCATCAAAGCAGTCTGGAAAATATCCAGACTGCTTTGAGTGGCTATAACATCCCTTCTCACAGGAGTTGTTGCCAGATATTGCCACTGCCACTCCACAACTGTCACTCGTAAAACAGTAATTTCAGGGTCATGATTATCTAAGACATGAAGTTCAGGGTCACCTTGAGGCACCCTCGTACATCACTGGTCACTGTGTTTGCGGCACGCCTCCATTTAGTCATGGTTGACTACTACAGGGCGAAAGAAGTTCAACATACATACGTACACTGTGGTGGCTTTTGATAGCAATGGTCATTGATCCCAAACTTGATTTGAAGCTTTCGTCACTGCAGGAATTACTCTTTGGTTCTTTCGGTAAAGTCACGTAGAAAGAAAATAAATTAAATAATAGAATACGACGTGTCGATTGCAACACAAGCAATCATCAGGTAGAACAAAATTTGAGAAAGAGACAAAACACAGACACGGAGACACACAGACAGACACACAAGCAGAGAGAGACAACACAGACACAGAGAGACACACAACATAGACACGTGTCTATGTTGTGTGTCTCTCTGTGTGTTCTCATTAAATTGTTGTGTAAACTTAGGATCAATCGTCATCAGGTAGAACAAAATTTGAGAGAGACAAAACACAGACACGGAGACACACAGACAGACACTCAAGCAAGAGAGACAACACAGACATACACAGAGAGACACACAACATAGACACGTGTCTAGACACGTGTCTATGTTGTGTCTCTCTCTGTGTGTCTATGTTGTGTGTCTCTCTCTGTGTGTCTCTGTGTTGTCTCTCTCTGCTTGTGTGTCTGTGTGTCTCCGTGTCTGTGTTTTGTCTCTCTCAAATTTAGTTCTACCTGATGACCATTGATCCTAAGTTTAGACAACAATTTAATGAGAACCCCTCTGTGAATGTATATTGAAGTCTTTTCACAATAGCGATAGATTCATGCATTGTACTTGCAATAATTTTTGGCTGGAAATAAATTGTGACTTGCAGTGCTTTTTTATTTGCAGAATACCGATGAAGTGATAATTGGATTGTCAGTAATTTTGGGTTAATTGGAAGAGGTGTGCAGAAATAGAATGTAATAATGTTTGCATTTTTTCTTACACTTGCATTTTCTGCAGGTTTTCACAGCTGTGGCTTTGATCAACATGCTGATTACGCCTCTCAATGCCTTTCCGTGGGTGCTAAACGGACTCATTGAAGCACGGATTTCTTTAAGGAGACTTGAAACATTTTTGTCCTTACCAGAGTTCAATGCTGAAACATATTACTGCAATAGCAAGCCATTTTACGGTAATGCTCCATCATAGAGTCTGTAAAGTGGAATGTAAACGTTGAGATATCCTGGAACACTTGTGCCACACATCGAACCTCTTTGTAAAGTTTTTATGTTCTTCCTGTGTCCCAGTTGGATTTCCTCTGGGTTCTTCCGTCGACTTTCATAGCATCAAAAGACCCATTCAATGTAACTGGTATTGCCAAACATCCCCAATTCCTGAAAATGACTGAATTAATTTACAAAGACAAAGATCCCCGATGTAATCTTTATAGATTGTTGGGGCAAGTGCTGTGAGCGAGCACCTATCAAGGCCGGCACCGCACATGATGGGGTGGGTGACCATCATCACGCCCGGCCGCCTTTGTCTCCTTAATGGCGATGTTTACACACCGCACCAGGTACTCATTTGAGGCTGAGTTGACCTAGGGGAGGCCCAGGACCTGTTCAGTTTATCGTCACCGATGTGGGCTGTGAGTGGGAATCAAACCTGGGTCGCCGGGTTCGTAATGCAGCGCGCTAACCGCTACACGACCGCTCCCCATTAATTGGGTTTACACACGCACACAGCAGCAGCAACATCGCCCCCGACTGCGAAAACCTGGCAGGACCCTCCTGAACAAGAGTCTTGAGACTCGGTGTGATTTTCCTGGGTAAACAAATGTAATAATAAATAATTACCCTGTGGTTGGCAACCAAGGAGAACTGCAGCTGCACGATGGGCCACTGGGAATGCCATGTGGAGCCTGTCGGCGCAGGCCTTGCAGGGCTAGGGGCACTTATGCGATGCTCTTCTGAAACAGAGAGGCTGTATCTCCGCCTCTCTCCGCGTCCCCTCTGGCCACGCTGCCCAACTGTTCAACAAGGTCGCCGTGTCGCTGCCTTGTTGTGGTCACTTCCCTGTTCCAAATTTTCAGTTTGACACAAATGCACCACCGGCTCGGGGCTGTAAAAGGGAGCTCTGCACCGCCTCAATGCTCCTGTGAGCAGGAAATCACCCCAGCGTCCCCCCCCCCCCTTCCGTGCTGAGCAGAGGGAGCGCAGAGCGGCGAATGGGAGGTGGCGCTGTGCCGAGCAACGCTGTCGTGGGCCTCGCTGCTGTGCCCACCGCAGCAGCGCGGCTCCCCGGACCCTGCCGCGGAGGGCTTCTCCCTCAAACGTGTGGAGTTCGGAGTTAAGGAGGTCAGCTAGAGCTTCGTCGCGTTTCAGACATGCGTTATGCCGCTCGCTTTGCAAGCCGATATTTTAGTTTTACAGTTTATAATGATAAACGCTTCAAGGCCGGGATGTAAAACCGGCAGTGTTGTTGATGCCACTAGAATTCACGATAACTTCCTCCTGCCGAATTGCACATCCTGGACAGGCCTGACTCAGCTCCTCCTGGACAAGGGGCCAGTCGAGCTGTGGTGTGAGGTGATAGACTGCCAAGGAGAGCGAGCCAGGGTAGTGCCAAAGGGACAATTGATGGTGCAGGGCCCATCCCAGTTCCCGCCTAGTGCCCGCCCTGCTCCAGGTCGCTGACCTCTGTTGCCATTTCAGTGCACAGCTTGTGAATCCTCCATCCCGCAGCCTTGGCCATCTCTTCCTCTTGTCTACACTCTGTTCTTGCTATGCTCTATTCCAGACTTTCAATTTTCTTGTCACATCCTACGATCAAATCCCTTTAGTTATCTGTATTCACCAATATTCACATGGCAGAAACTTATTTTCTAGTTGTCTGTAATCTTGTGTTTACTGAGATTTGAAGTTTCCGCTTCCTCAGTTTTCTTTTGGCATTTGAATCCCATTTCTTCCAGTTGGACATGGAAGGCTTCACTGCTGTCCACGCAGTCGTGACGTAGCCATGGTCATACCCAGATTGTACGTCGGCCGTCTATATAATTATATAATGAGAAATCAATTGGGAATGTCTCACCAGATGCTGGAAACCAGGTTAGCTGATTGCCGCTTGTTCACCCTCTGCCCATTCCGAGATGTCTGCAAGTTGCAGGGTGGGGCGTCCCGTTCACCTCTGAATCTTGGAACGTGCAAGCGTAGTGCCGTTGTTTTTAAATACATTGTACTCTCTGAAGAGAATTATAGCGACACGATCGCACTCTATGATAGCTGGGGCCAAACTGTGCCACGCACCCTCCCGCAAGGCCTTGTGGGGGGAGCCTCGGTAGCAATAAAGTTATTTTATATTAGTTTTTCTTCCGGTTCCGTTCTGATGACATACGCTTGTATGTCATCAGAACAGACTTGGAAGGAAAATTTGATGACCTACACATGTATGCTATCGGAACGGGAAAGGGTTAAAAGGCACCTCCCACAGCTGCCACTGGTAATGCCGGCGCCGTGTTGTTCACCAGGGACAGCTGGTCGGCGTAGTTGGAAAAGTTGGAAGCGGGAAGAGCTCCCTACTTGCGGCCATAACCGGTGACCTCTTCAGGTGAGATTCCATGCATTCGTTGGTATCCATCATTGACATTCATGTTCAAACTCGCCTGAAATGCTCTGATATAAGAGCGTACTCATACTTGATTGGTTTGTTCCTCTGGCTTTTTTCTGTGTTTTGATGACGCAGTACTGGAGTTCAATTAAAACGCTTGGAACATTACGGTGTAGCGTACCGTGGTTAATGTAACGAGGAGCCATGTCACCGTTGCCAGCTGCACAAGCTGGCACGTGACTGTCAGTGTGAATTGAGGCTTCAGGTGGGAAGGCATTGAGCGCTTACTCCAACCACTCGGTTTGGTTGTTTTTAGGCCTGCAGGGAGGGCTGTTGTGCAACTACCTTTTTAGCAAACTGTGATTGCGGTTCCATGTTTCATCGTAGAAATATTCCACCTGCAGGAAAGCCTTTTTGTGTGACCTGAACAGTCCGGGATTTGGCATCTGTGTTTGGGTGACCGTTATCGATTCTTACTGAAATCTGGTGATTTCCTGTTGAACATTATTCCAGTGCACTGCACAGTCATCATACACCTAGGCTGGGAAAATATGTGCGGGTTTGGTCTGTGTAGTTTGGTGGCGAGATGTTAACTCCCTCGCCTGGTATGTAGGTGGTCGTGGGTTCAATGCCGACCCTCACGCCTGTATATTTGGAGTTTGCATGGTCTCCCCGTAGTCGCATAGATTTTTCTTCGGTTTTTACCTCCTCATTTAGAAACATGCTTTCAGAGTATTTGGCTGCTATAAATTTAGACATGATAAGCTACTTCATTGAAATATCATTTGTCGCCAGGTCGCCTCTGAAAAAGAGCTATATATAGCTCCGTGGGCCTTACTTGGTAATGTAAAGATAAATTAAAGTTTAGTTTGGTTTTAGTGCATTGATAAAAATATGAATTTTTAAGTGCCAAAGAGTCCAACTGGTGTTCTGCGGGTTAGCGGGACCGATGGGTGGTGGGTGTTGAGACACGGGGGCTATGTTGGCATAGGTAGCGGTGTTCCTGGCCCCCTTGCTTCCCTTACATGTGGCTTCCCGGCAGGTGTAGTGGAGGGGTCCTTGTGAAGCGACTGGAGGAAGGTTTCGGATTGTTCACCCAAGAGACGTGGATCCAGCATGGGACTGTGCGAGACAACATCCTCTTTGGCAGTCGCTACGATGAAGACAAATACCTCTCCATCATTCGCGCCTGCGCGCTGTCGGAAGACCTCAAGGTTTGCAAACATTTTATGACAACACCTCATTTTGTGCATTTTATGCAGCAGTGATAGAAGTGAATAATTCAGGGGGGGCACCTGTCTGGGCTTGACCAGTCAGTCCGGTAATTGGGTGGCAGGACTTGATTTCTACCGAGATCTGGTGCCAGTCTTGCGTTGAACTTGATTACAGTTTACTGCACAGTTTTGATTCTAGACCCAGGCTGATGGAGAAGAACGCCCGGGTTTGGTTTGTGGACAAGGTGGTGATCCCAGGAGAACTGTTTTTCCGCATGCTGCCTGTATGGAGTTTAAATGATCTACATATTGCAGTCTGGCAGACCTGCGGAGCTTGCCTGTTACACCTCCTGGGCAGGGCCGTCCAGTCGGGTACTAATTTGACATGAAGGATAAAAAAAAACCATAATAGGCGACATCTTGGGCAGTGGCCCTTCTTCAAAGCATGTGTGACCTCTCTATCTGTGGCCTCTCTATGGCATCTCCATCTATGACTTCACTATCTATGGCTTCTCTTCTCTATGGCCTCAATCTCTATGGCCTATCTGTGTGCTGTAAATCTTTGTACTTAAATGAGGGTCATGGCCTGACACATCACCTGTGATATATTTTGTTCCGCTTAAGGCCACACTATTAATGACGAATGTTAAGTGTTCTTTGTGCACCGCTGTCATTGCTGTATTTAGAAGTAACGTGCTTTCATTTTGAACACACATCAAGCTTAGTTTCTTCATGATTTTTTTTTTTATTACCGAGCGATTATAGACTCTATGGATATTTTTTGGTTTGTGAAAAGCCAAACCTAGCGCAGTGGCGGTGTCGGCACGTTGAGATGCTGGGCATGGGTGACCAGTGGCAATCATGGCCATGCAGCCTCTGTGTGGTTTTGGTGGCTACGGTAACATTCGAGCTGCATGTGCAGTAACATTCAGAATCAGAAGTTTTTCCATATTAGAGTTTTTTTTGGGTTAGATTGTGTAAATATATGTGTCGTTGAAACCCACCACCACCCAACACAGCCAACTAGTAAGGGTTGTCACGTAAACATAACATGCCAATTCATCATTAGTACAGCACACCGGTGTGTTGGAGAGCCAAGCCACAACATTTACAATCTGAGTACAACGTTTTGCCAGTAATTACTATTAGCTTCATCAGGCGACAGCCAGATTTGTGGATAAGTCCACCTGTTTCGGTCATTGTATGGAGGCGTAGATGTAGTGACCACACTTCTGCGCTCTTGCGGAAAGTGGGGGGGGGGATTAATGAGCCAACGTACATTATGCATGCATATTATGCGAGCCCTTTCATCTTGTCCTTCCTGTCCATTGTGTGTATTAAAATATACCCGTACCAACGGTAATCTCTATTTCAGTTTCATTTAATTTCAGTTTTCATTTATTTGGTATAGCCCTCTAAGCCATTCGGCTCTTGAATCGGGTGCAACCGCAACAAACAAAAACATGAACAAGAAAACATCTTAAAGTGGCTATGTGATTGTGCAAACAGAAAAATCCATGAAAAAACAGCAAAATCTTCCAGAAAAAGCACTGTACACCAACGCTGTGTGCAAAAATCCCAGTGGGAGGCAAGTCAAACAACCACAAGACAACTTAAATTAAGGCCATCAGTCTAACTCCGTACTACAATAAACAAAAACATGGCCAAACCAAAAAACTTTTCGAAATCACCAAAATAAAGCCATAAAATTCAATGTAACAGTGATCATAGGAACTGTGACCGAAATTTCACAATTAACGACATAAACAACATGTACCACCAAACCCTGTAGCCATAGCTGGCTGCATGAGTCACTCCACAACAGCAGGAGCATCGGTAGGAGTATCAACATTTTTCCAATGCACCTTTAAAGATCAGCACACTAAATCAAAACACAAGATCATACTTTGCAGCGGTCATCCGGAGCGAAACATTTGATTTTAGGCCACTGAACAGCAGTGGCAGCTAGGGGTGTACAACTCCTCGAGCAGTTTTGAGTGAAGATCTCATAGGTAGTGATTCAAGTTGCAGTTTATTGGCAATAGCATTCCAGACCCTGCGGGCATCAATAGCAAAGGCCCTTCCTCCAGTATTTGTATGGCAATAAGGAATGTGAAGCTCGTATATGAGCGAAGACCTTAGGTCACATTTGTTATTCAAACAGAGAGGAGATCCAGCAGGTAGTCTGCACATTTCTTTGTAAGTACATTGTGAATAAATAAGATCTGGTGCACAAGCCGTCGAACATTAAGAGAAGTTAAGTTTGACCCAATGTAGAGATCACAGTGGTGAGTCCTATATGGGCAGTTCAATGCAAATCTTAAGGCTGAGTGATAAATTGAGTCAAGCTTCTTCAGTACAGTAGTGGGGGCTGATTTATATACGATATCACAGTAATCAAATAGAGGCAGTATGGTAGCTTTTATCAATTCCAAACGGAACATAGGGGAGAAACAGTGCTTGTGTCGATACAGAAAACCAATTTTTATTTTTGTCTTTTTACCAATATAATCAATGTGATCTTCAAAATTCAGTTTTGAATCCAGGATGACCGCAAGATACTTATAGATCTTAACTTGCTCTATTTGATAATTATTTAAGGAATGTAATTGGGGAAAATAACTTTCTGCTTTAGTCCTGGTGAGAAGCATAGCACCTTGGTTTTGGAGGTATTCAGGACTACATATTCTTAGTTTTTTCGGTAAAGTCACGTTGAAGAGAAACAACAAAATAACAAAATATATATAAAACAATAAGAGCAACTAGCTGATGTTGTAGTTTGTTGAAATCACCCTGGAGCTTAGCAATCACGTCATCCGGAGAGCGGCCAGCAGTAATCAGTATCGTGTGATCTGCAAAAAGATTTACCCTGGAATGATCCAGGTCAGTGCCCAAGTCATTGACATAAAGAAAGAACAAGAGGGGGCCGAGGATGGAACCCTGTGGAACCCCTTTTGTTATCTTAACACTGTTTGACCTCCAACCATCTGTGAATACAGTTTGGGTGCGAGAAAAAAGGAAATTTTGTAAACATTCTACTGCGTGTTTGGTGAAATGGAGGCAACTTAGTTTACAAAGCAGGGTCTTGTGGTTGACTGTATCAAGGCTTTGGACAAGTCAAGAAAAAGACTGGCGCAGTACTGCTTATTATCAAGGCTACTGTAAATGTGATTCAGAGAGTCTGAAGTATGGTGTCCTGTATAGGCATGCATTTAAACAATGTATTATTTGATTATTCGCTTCCATGCAGCACGAAGTCGGTAGCTTTACGAACGGTAAAAATTATTTTTATTTCTTTCAATTTTGATACATGATCTAATTAGTCTTGGCCAGTAGTAGCTAGTTTTGCACAGAACTTTAACATTATCAAAATCAATTGAGTGTCCTTGTTGGCACGTGTGTTCTGCTACTGCTGACAGTTGTATTTGGGAGTATTTAATATTTCTTTGATGTTATTTTAGTCTCGTGCTGATCATTCGTCCTGTTTGCCCAACATAACATTTGCCACAAGTCCAGTTAATCCTGTACACACCTTCTGTTGATAGCTTCGGTAAAACATATTTTGTACCAAATATTAATTTCTGTATTTTATGTACCGTGCCAAATGTGACTCAGATGTTTTGTTTTTCCAAACATCTGGATAGTTAATCAGTCACTCCCGCAATGTACGGTATTTTGATCGTTTTAATTACTTGGGCAGTTTCAATGCTCGTGTTATTTTATTTGGTTTTGGCATTCAATGCCCTGTTGATTTGTGTATCATTGTAACCGTTCATTTGCAGCGCTTCTTTAACATGTTGAATTTCACTTCTCAGACTGTTACCATCTGACACTTTCTTAGCTCGATGAATGAGTGTCTTGATAAGAGCAGATTCTGTGCAGGGTGATGGTGTGACTCTGCATTCAGATAGGTGTCAGTATGCGTTTTTCTTTTGGTAAACGCTGTGTGTTATTTTACCATTTCGACCCTGTCCGAGCAGAATATCCAGAAATTTTAGAGTTCTGTCAGCTTCCACTTCCATGGTGAACTGGATGGATGGGTTTGCGAATTGAGATGATTTAGAAATTCGTTGAGTGTATCTTTGCCGTGTGGCCAGACCACCACTGTGTCATCCACATATCTAAACCAAGCAGAGATTTTTAGTGTGCTTGAAGTTATTGCTTTTGTTAAAAAATCTTCCATGTACAAATTCGCTATCACAGGAGACAAAGGAGAGCCCATTGCTGCTCCTTTGTGACTGATAAACTAGCCAGATGTTTGGAAAAACAAAACATCTGAGTCAGATTTGGCACAGTACATAAAATACCGAAATTTATATCTGGTACAAAATATGTATTACCGAAGCTATCAACAGAAGGTGTGTACAGGATTAACTGCACTTTGTGGCAAATGTTATGTTGGGCAAACAGGGCGAATGATCAACACGAGACTAAAAGAACATCATAAAGATATTAAATACTCCCAAATACAATTGTCAGTAGTAGCAGAACACACGTGGCAACAAGGACACTCAATTAATTTTAATAATGTTGAAGTTCTGTGCAAAACTAGCTACTACTAGCCAAGACTAATTTGAGAATATATCGAAATTGAAAGAAAAAATAATTTTAACCGTTCGTATAGCAACCGACTTAGGGCTGCGTGGAAGCGAATAATCAAATAATACATTGTTTAAATGCATGCCTATACAGGGCACCATACTTCAATAGGGATTCCCGTTGGACAGGGAGGACAAGATCAAAGGGCTCGCATAATGCGCATGCATAATGTACGTTGACTCATTAATCCCCTCCCCCCCTACTTTGCGCAAGAGCGCAGAAGCGTGGTCACCACATCTACGCCTCTATATAAGGAACGAAACAGGTGGACTTCTCCACAAATTTGGCTATCGCCTGATGAAGCTGGTTGTAATTACTGGCAAAACGTCGTACTCAGATTGTAAATGTTGTGGCTTGGTTCTCCAACACACCGGTGTGCTGTACTCGTGACGAATTGGCACGTTCTGTTTACGTGACAACCCTTACTAGTTGGCTGTGTCGGGTGGTGGCGGGTTTTAAGGACACATTCATATATTTACGCAATCTAACCGAAAAAATACTCTTATGGATGATATTGGTCATGAGAGCCTACGTGTTAAACAGAAGTTTTTCATCTGAGTAAATTACTGCTCTTCTTCTTCCTCTTCCTATTCTTCTTCCTCTCCTTCCTCTTTTTCCTCCTTATTGCATAAATGCAGAGAAACAATTACAATTCCACATTCAGGTGGTGAAGCCCAGATATCCATGTCAGGAGCAGTGGCGTTAATCATCGCCGTGATATCTCCTTTGTATTTGAATTACCCATTGAGCTATGTGGCTCGTTTGTAAGGGTGACTCGACCAGCAGACAGATATGGCAGCAAGAGTGACAACTTAATAAGCAAACACGATATAAAATATAAATAAAGTAATTAAAACCAAATGATGGGTGCTTATTTAAAAATGTGATTTGTAATGCCAGCACTGGGCCGGTGATATGTAAACAGTGGCACTTTGTGGTTTGCTTGCAATGTGGATCAGTGACGTGAGGTCAATGGCTGGGGAGGCACTGGCTCGTGTCAGAGCCAGTCACACACTGAGGTGGGCGTGGCCTCAGAGGGGGCGTGGCCTCAGAGGGGGACGTGTCTAACACGCCCCCCTCAGTGAGGCAAATGTGATAGCTGCCTCCCTTGGTGCTTTTTCATTGCAGTTTCATGACGAGACCAGCGAGCCTAAATATCTTAATACACATACGTGAAATAAGTTACCTGGAGTATGGAAGGCGAGGACATGAAATGAAGGGGTCTACAAACATTACATTGGTGACATACTGAGATAGTAACAGGCACGCGCTTATTGCCCACGCTCCATCCAGTTACTGAGGGGTTGCGCAATCAGAGGGGAGGCTGAGCTCGTCGCTGCCTCACCTCTCGTCTCTTCCTGTATTTGCAGCGGAGCTCTGCAAATTTGGCGATTTTGACTATAAAAATTATTGTAATCATACAGAAATGACATTTATAACACAGATCCGTGGAAAAATCTTAATATTTATTTCATTTATTATTTTATTTGATTATTCTTTTTTTTTACTTTTCGTAACAGCTATTTTCATTGGAGTATGACAGGTGAGGCTCTGCCTCCCCTGCCTCCCCTGACCGCACGTCCCTGATGTGGATGTGTTGTTGTTGCTGTTGTCATTGATGCGTGTGCAGGCGTTGGCGAACGGGGACCGGACAGAGGTCGGGGAGAATGGGGTGACTCTCAGCGGAGGCCAGAAAGCCAGGATTGCGCTTGCACGGGTGGCCTACAGCGTGAGTTTATTCTCTAGATTTTTATTAAAACATTTCACCTGGAAAGTACCTCGGGATGGAAATTTTTTGTCTGCAACGGTGTCCAGGGGTATCAAATGACACGGACACACAGCAAGCACACACTCAACCACTGACAATCATCGTTTCCTCTCGGAGAGATTGTATGTATGGTTAACTTCTTTTGCACTGTACGTAGGCAACCGTACTAATCAGATGTTGTATTCTGTTATAACATAAAAGGTCTTTTGGCTTTACGTATGACCAAAAAAAAATACAGCCCTTTGATAATCCAGTGCTGGATGAAGGCTTCTTCACATAGCGTCAGTGGTGGGGGAAGTTTACAGACCTGAGCTTTGGCACCATATTCCATAGGCACATTCATCAGTAGGATCATTGTTAATACGTGTATTTACACATGATGTTTCAAGGCCAAACATAACTCGTCGTATGCCAGCCCTCATAGCGGCGGTAGAGATATGTTAACTACTTTGCCTGGTATACAGGAGGTCTTGGGTTCCATCTCAACCCTGACGCCTGTATATTTGGAGTTTGCGTGTTCTCCCCATGGTCGTGTGGATTTTTGTCCAGGTCCTCTGGTTTTCCCTCCACATTTAGAAACATGCGTTGAAGAGTATTTGGCTGCTGTACATTTCCAAGTGATAAACCACTTAATTGGGTGATCATTTGTGGCCAGGTCGCTTATGAAAAAGAGCTATATAGCTCAGTGGGCCTTATCTGGTACAATAAAAACATATTTATAGTTTTCAAATCTTATGTTTATTGTGTAATTTTTCAACTTATGTGAATATATCTGCATCGTTTCCTGTTACATCAGCTCTAGCTGCTGGTTGAACAAGTTGGTGGGGCAGTTGGGGGTATGACTCGGTCATCTTATGTGGGTATCATGTGCCTGTGTAGCCCAATCACCTTTGCGCATGTGAGCTCCCCCGGCCTTAGTGGCGCTCTCAGACTGTGTAGATCGACGCGCTTGACAAGAGAGTTCTGGTGCAACGGTTAGCGCCGCGCTGCGCTACGAACATGGTGACCCGAGTTCAAATCCCGCTACTGCCAACAAACAGTAGCAATTATCTGAACCAGTCCTGGGCCCCTTCCCTAGGTCGGCTCAGCCTCAAACAAGTACCTGGTGTGGTGTGTCAACATTGCCACGAGAGAGACAAATGTGAGCGTGGTGCCTGCCACCCACCCACCCCCTCGTGTTTGTTAAGGCTATACGGGGGATCTTTGTCTGGTTGCCCCGAAAGCCTCTCACCTCATCAATGAAATGACCAGACTAAGTTCACAGCTGAAGAAGGCGGAGCATGCAGGAGGCAAGATGCTTGGACGGCAGGGTGGCGCAGTGGTAACACTCGTGTCTCGTATCAAGAAGGACCTGGGTTTGATTCCAGACTTGGGCACCTTTCTGTGTGGAGTTTTTCTGTTCTCTCTCTCCCCCTGCATTGCATGGGTTTTCTCCAGGTCCTCTGGTTTCCTCCCACACAACTGCAAAAGCCTCGCAAGGCTCTCCTGAAGAGGAGTCTTGAGACTCGGTGAGGCGTTCCTGAGTAAACAAGCGCAATAATAATAATAATAATAATCGTGATATTGCATCATGGTCTCTTGCAGGACAAACCCGTTTGTTTGCTGGACGATCCTTTAGCAGCCGTGGATTGTGATGTTGCTGCTCACCTGTTCAGCAAATGCATCAATGGGATTCTGCAGAAGAGGACCAGGATCCTGTGCACTCATCGCACCCAGTATTTGGCCGCAGCCGACCTCGTCATCCTGCTCGACAATGGCATCGTCATCAAAGCGGGTACTGGATTTTGACGCTGAAAAGTATCCGTAGTTAGTGGTATTTTTAAACACTGTACAAATTCTGCGAGCTGGTCGTGTGGCTCAGCGCTTGCGAGTTCAGATCCTGATAGCGGAGTTCCCTCGGCCCATCATACCCCTGCGGTGAGTAAAACGAGTTCCACTTTGTGAGGAAGTCAACAATTGTTGTCCTATGGATATGACTCGCCCCCAAAATAGGAATGGGGAATTTTCACCACTGGCTCAGGGCTGTAAACTGGAGATGAGCGCAGCCTCAGTGCTCATTTGAGCAGAAATCATCTCCCCCTTTGGAGACATACGCTACACCGAGTCATCTAAAACACATTAAGTGCCGGTTTTTACACCTCTAGAAGCTAGTGCTCGCTCTCACGTCTATCACTTTTATTTCACTTTCGTTTTACAAATAAACAAAGTTTATTCTTCAAGCCCTCCAACGAACCACAACCATCATCTACTTCTTCATGGTGATGTGATGAGTGACTAAGATTCAGTGGTTTTAGCAAGGTTATTAGTGTATACCATCACATTGTAAATACGTAGTTAGGTGATATGAAGTGAAGTGTTAATTGTCATAGGTGTGTCTATGCCAGACATCCCTAATAACAGCCACATGCCCTCCCCTGATCGGTTTACCTGTGTAGTGGTCGACTTCACACGGACAACTTCTTCTTTTCTCTGACACCACTTTTATTACAAACTCTCCACATTACGCCTGTGGCTTCATCATTTCTCTGTTCACCGCGGCGAGCGAGCGAGCCACACTCGCACACCGCGCTCGCTCGCCACACTCCCTTCCCTCTCTCACTGTCTCTCCGCGTCGTCTCTGTCTCCCTCCGTCGCTGTCTCTGTCTCTCTGTTGCTCGCTGTCTCACTCTGTCTCTCCGTCTCACTATCTCTCCGTCCTACTTTGTATCTCTCTCTCGCTCTGTCTCCGTCTCATTTTGTCTCTGTCCCACTCTGTATCTCTCTCGCTCTGTCTCTGTCCCCCTCTGTCTCTGTCCCACTCTGTATCTCTCTCTCGTTCTGTCTCTGTCTCACTCCGTCTCTGTCCCACTCCGTATATCTCTCTCGTTCTGTCTCTGTCTCACTCCGTCTCTGTCCCACTCTGTATCTCTCTCGCTCTGTTTCTGTCCCCCTCTGTCTCTGTCCCACTCTGTACTCTCTCTCGCTCTGCCTCTGTCTGCCTCTGTCCCATTCTGTATCTCTCCCTGTCTCTCCTTGTCCCTGTCTTGTCTCTATCTCTCTCTGTCTCTATCTCGTCTCCATCTCTCTCCCTGTCTCGGTCTTGTCTCTACTTGTCTCTATCTCTCTCTGTCGCTCCTTGTCTCTGCTTGTCTCTGTCTTGTCTCTCCTTGTCTCTATCTCTCTCTGTCGCTCCTTGTCTCTGCTTGTCTCTACTCCACTGCTAGCCTGTTCTGTCTCTTATGTCTTCTCTCCGTCTCTCCCCGACCTGCTCCGTTCCAGTCCCAGCGACAACAATAACTGCGCTCTCCTGTCCCCCGAATATATCCCCGTTCCCATCAACTACCAATTATTCGGCGTGCCCACGCCACCTCGTGTCCCTCGCACCTGTCCCTATCACCCCCCATCTCCAGACACTTAGGTGCCACTCTGCTCCTGACAACAACACCCGGCCAATCATAGCCATATATCGCATGCCAACTTAATTGGGCCGTTTCTCTCTCACCGTTCCCTGTTGCCGCACCTGCCCAGCCCGACATGACCCCACTCTCCATAACTCGCGCGTCTTTACCATCCACCCTGTATGAGCTTGTTAATCCACTACACCTGCGTTGCCTTGGCCCCACTCGTAGAGCGTCCTTGAGCGGGGGTGAATCCATTCTGAGCCATGCTCGAGTGACAATTCAGCAAACAGCACTCTTTATGAATATGTTTAAAACAGCCTTAACCACTCAACATTGAGGCGGGGTATAACCGGCTTGCTGTACGTGGCCACCGATGTCGTTTGCCGTCCGCTGTGCGTGTAATTTATCGGTGTTGCTAGGCAATGGCGGGTTGTGCCGGCCTGTGTGTATGTACGTGTGTATGGATGTTGAACTTCTTTCGCACCATACTTAGCCAACCATGTGAATCGGAGCTGTCTGTGTTGCAGGGCCGCCCCACGCGGTGCTTCCGGCCGGTAACGCGCTTCCTGATTGGCCCTTGGCCGTTGAGGCTGAGCCACACTCAGATGGTAACCGCGTCTCCGCCCCCTCCCATTTCTCCTCCCCCTTCTCTTCCCCCTCCCTCTTCTTCTCCTCCTCCTCCTCCCCTCCCACACCTCTCCTCTTCCCTCTCATCCTATTCCCTATCCTCCCCCACATAGCCCTGCAATGTGTGCACATTTGCTCATGTGAGCTGTTGAAGTCTTGCCTGCTTTCATAAATGTGTTGTTGAATAGTAAGCGATCATAGGTAATAAATCACAGTCATTTGTCAATTCATTGGTGGACATGAAGGCTTCTTTGGATCATAATTGGCCACGCTTTATCAGTGCAGGTTGGTAGGGGTGGTGGACAGGCTCGGTTCACATGTAACTCGCCACTGATGTAATCTGGTGACTGGGAATTGAGCTCAGGTAGAGCGGTTCGTAGTGTGGCACACGGAAACGCTGCATCGCCGCTGCGCGGCTGAAGCTTGCATGCTCAGCGGCCCGAGTTCAGACTTTCATCGTCATGAAAAAGTTTCAAAAAGGGCCTGAACCTAACTTGGGCATCATCTATTATTACACAACAAATATGGAAGCGCACTCCAAGGGAAGCAAATTGCCACCAGGAGTGTGACAGCATAGACTGCTGTTGTATTCTACAGCCTTTGTTGCTTTCGCTAAACTTTGATCATGGAGTTATATGAACATAAACATGAATAGAACATGGACACAGGCCATTCTATTCAACTAAACTATGATCTATTTTTATTTTACCAGGTAAAGCCCACTGAGCTACAGTGAGGGAAAAAAGTATTTCATCCCCTGCTGATTTTGTACGTTTGCCCACTGACAAAGAAGTGATCAGTCTATAATTTTAATGGTAGGTATATTTGAACAGTGAGAGACAGAATAACAACAAACAAAAAACCAGAAAAACGCATGTCAAAAATGTTATAAATTGATTTGCATTTTAATGAGGGAAATAAGTATTTGACCCCCTCTCAATGAGAAAGATTTCTGGCTCCCAGGTGTCTTTTATACAGGTAATGAGCTGAGATTAGGAGCACACTCTTAAAGGGAGTGCTCCTAATCTCAGCTTGTTACCTGTATAAAAGACACCTGTCCACAGAAGCAATCAGTCAGATTCCAAACTCTCCACCATGGCCAAGACCAAAGAGCTCTCCAAGGATGTCAGGGACAAGATTGTAGACCTATACAAGGCTGGAATGGGCTACAAGACCATTGCCAAGCAGCTTGGTGAGAAGGTGACAACAGTTGGTGCGATTATTCGCAAATGGAAGAAACACAAAAGAACTGTCAATCTCCCTCGGCCTGGGGCTCCATGCAAGATCTCACCTCGTGGAGTTGCAATGATCATGAGAACGGTGAGGAATCAGCCCAGAACTACACGGGAGGATCTTGTCAATGATCTCAAGGCAGCTGGGACCATAGTCACCAAGAAAACAATTGGTAACACACTAAGCCGTGAAGGACTGAAATCCTGCAGTGCCCACAAGGTCCCCCTGCTCAAGAAAGCACATATACATGCCCATCTGAAGTTTGCCAATGAACATCTGAATGATTCAGAGGACAACTGGGTGAAAGTGTTGTGGTCAGATGAGACCAAAATGGAGCTCTTTGGCATCAACTCAACTCGCCGTGTTTGGAGGAGGAGGGATGCTGCCTATGACCCCAAGAACACCATCCCCACCGTCAAACATGGAGGTGGAAACATTATGCTTTGGGGGTGTTTTTCTGCTAAGAGGACAGGACAACTTCACCGCATCAAAGGGACGATGGATGGGGCCATGTACCATCAAATATTGGGTGAGACCCTCCTTCCCTCAGCCAGGGCATTGAAAATGGGTCGTGGATGGGTATTCCAGCATAACAATGACCCAAAACACACGGCCAAGGCAACAAAGAAGCACATTAAGGTCCTGGAGTGGCCTAGCCAGTCTCCAGACCTTAGTCCCATAGAAAATCTGTGGAGGGAGCTGAAGGTTCGAGTTGCCAAACGTCGGCCTCGAAACCTTAATGACTTGGAGAAGATCTGCAAAGAGGAGTGGGACAAAATCCCTCCTGACATGTGTGCAAACCTGGTGGCCAACTACAAGAAACGTCTGACATCTGTGATTGCCAACAAGGGTTTTGCCACCAAGTACTAAGTCATGTTTTGCAGAGGGGTCAAATACTTATTTCCCTCATTAAAATACAAATCAATTCATAACATTTTTGACATGCGTTTTTCTGAATTTTTTGTTGTTATTCTGTCTCTCACTGTTCAAATACACCTACCATTAAAATTATAGACTGATCATTTCTTTGTCAGTGAGCAAACGTACAAAATCAGCAGGGGATCAAATACTTTTTTCCCTCACTGTATATAGCTCTTTCAGAAGCGGCCTGGCCACTAGTGATAGCTCAACAAAGTGGCTTATCAGGTGTAAATATATCACAGCCAAATATTCGAGTAGACACAGAGAAAAATCCACACGACCACTGGTACAGAGACACGCAAACTCCAAGTATACAGGCGTCAGGGTCAGGATCGAACCTACGGACTCCTGTATACCAGGCGAGGTGGTTAACATCTCGCCGGCTCATTATTTGTTGATGTCTCCTTGCGCACGCGTGGCACGTGATGTCATCGCAAGGGCTGGGAGGCCTGCGTCATTTACGAAGGGGTTTTTCACCGAGTCTTGGGGCGACCCTTTGGTAAATGTGCCCGGGCGTCTATCGACTAAGTCCCTCATAGCAACACGACTTTATAATGAAGTTTTGTTCATATTGGGTCTTCTTTACAAGCGTTAGCGTTATCGTGACCCCCGCGTCACAGAGATGATGCACTAACGCTTTGCATCTTGTTTAGAACGTTGTTGATGCTGACCAATGATACGTTGTCCTTCTATGCAAGCTAACAATTATGCAATGATGATTGCCCTGTGTGACAGGAGGAGGAGGTGGAGGAGATGAGTGTGAGTGGGATAGTGAGGGTGAGGCTGATTGTGTGGCTGGCGCTGTGGCTGCAGGAGCGTGTGGTGGTGGTGTGGCTGAAGGAGCGGGTGGTGGTAGTGGTGGTTGCGGTGTGGTTGCAGGGGTGCGTGGTGGTGTGGCTGGAGGAGCGGGTGGTGGTGGCAGTGTTGCTGGAGAAGCGATTAGTGGTGGTGGTTGTGGTGTGGCTGATGGAGCGGAAGGTGGCGGTGTGGCTGGAGTAGTGAGTGAGCCGTTGGTGCAGCAGGAGGAGAGGATGGTGGGCGCCGTGGCTCTGGGTGTGTGGCTCGCGTACTGGCGCGCCGTCGGCTCCTGCCTCTCCGTCGCCGTAATCCTTGCCCTCTTTCTCATGCAGGGTGAGTCTTGTACTTGTTGGGTGTTGATGACGATGTGCAGTGTTGACATGTGAGGTTGTTTCCACGCCACTACAGAAACATAATTCTCACCACGTACTAGGTCTGTAAAAGTAATTAATCTCACGCTTCTCAGTGAGCCACCATTCATTGCAGTGGCATTAGAAGATGGATATTCAAATTTTTAACAGTGTAGCATTTAACTTTTTAAATATATACAGGCATACCATAAAAATGGTATGTTATATAATTGCTGTATGACAATATTTAAAAAGAGTAATAAAAAACAACCATCAATTATGGACAATTACGTCCGCTTCAACAGCGGTGTAGGGAATTTCAACAGGACGTCCACCTCTGCTTTAAGCCCAACGGTGCCACCAAGAGGCCAAGGTTTAGGGCTGCTCTTTGCGCTTTCAGGGTCTCATGAAGCGATGGCCGCTGAGTCGTGCGCATGGCTGAAATGAACAGCGACTCCTACGTCTATGTCCAAGTCAGGAAATTGCTACGTACGGCGTGTGGTACAGACGAGCAACTGAATTTCGAAAAGCAGCACAGTTATAAGTTGACGTCTTTAGCCGTGCAGCTGTGCTGGCTGTGAGCTCATGAGTTGCTGCCATTCAGCAGTGTTGACAAGCAGCGATCGACCACGTAGCGCATCGGTCTGATGACATAAGGCATAACAAAATAAAGGTGTCCTGGTTAGATGTGCTGTTCTGGAATAGGATGGTAAATGTTCTGTAAGTGTCGGTAGTTTTGATATATGGTGATGATAAAATGTTTCCTCATGGAGGTTATTTTCCTGTTTCTGCAGCAACTCGTAATGTTACAGACTGGTGGCTGTCTTACTGGATCGCGCATGTCCAGCAACATAAAAATGCAAGTTTCCACGATAATTTCGAGAGGTACGAATATTACACGTAGCGTTCGATGCCATGTGGTTTGGCTGAATGCCGTGTGCACTCAGTTTTCTTTCCAGCGTGAGGCGCTTTAATTGGTCGACCACTTGCAGACACGGTGGGGGGGGTGTCACGGTGGTGAGATGTTAACTACTTTGCCTGGTATACAGGAGGTCGTGGCTTAGATCCCGACCCTGATGCCTGTCTTTTCAAAGTTTACGGTGTCTCTTTCCTCGTTGTCGCATGGATTTTTCTCCGGATCCTCCGATTTTTCCCTCCACGTTTAGAATCATTATCACGGGTTTAGAATATTTGGCTGCTATAAATTTAAGCATGATAAGCCTCTTCATTGAGCTATTAATTGTGGCCAGTTTGCTTTCTAAAAAAGAGCTATATAGCTCAGTGGGCCTTACCTGGTAAAATAAAAATTGTTTAGTTTATAGCCGTTCTACATCTCCCTCACACAGTTCTTCTCCCGCAAGGTTGCGAGGTCGTGAGGCCATTGCCCAAAAATTTGGCGACTTTGTCATGACTCCATAACTGCGTTCGCAAACGCGGGAGCGAAAAAATTCGGTTTAGCACAACCGTTTACCAAAAACACTCACCGTTTGTGACATTATTCTGATGGGTAAGCCACATTTGCTGGCATAGAGGTGTAGCGGCATCATTGAACGTTGTGTGTAACTGCCACTACTTATGGCCTGTTGTAACGGCCTTGAGCCAACAGGGGGGAGAAGGGAAGCCGATGGAGATGAGTTAGGCCGCTAGGACAATGTAAACCGCAGTGTAGCCCGGGACCAGGGGTACAGACCCCAGACCCCCAAGAGGGGGGCTGGGGGATAACGTCACGCTCCGGGCCCCTCCAGACGGTTCCAGAAGGGAGGAGTGGCAAGGGGAGGAGTGAGCCAGAAAACGGTATAAAAGCCGGTCCCCTAAACGGGACCGGCAGTCGTCGTTTACCTGAAGACCGAAGAGCCAACCCGGAGACCTGGAGCTGCCACCTGGAAGACCTGAAGCGAAGGGCCCAAAGGGCAGAACCCGAACCCCTGGCTAGGGTTGGGACAAAAGCTTAACCAGTGTAGGGTCAGAGGTTAACCAGGGTAGGGTCAGAGCTTAACCAGTGTGAGAGTCAGAGCTTAACCAGGGTAGGGTCATAGCTTAACCAGTGTGAGGGTCAGAGCTTAACCAGTGTGAGAGTCAGAGCTTAACCAGGGTAGGGTCAGAGCTTAACCAGTGTGAGAGTCAGAGCTTAACCAGTGTGAGGGTCAGAGCTTAACCAGGGTAGGGTCAGAGCTTAACCAGTGTAGGGTCAGAGCTTAACCAGTGTAGGGTCAGAGCTTAACCAGTGTAGGGTCAGAGCTTAACCAGTGTAGGGTCAGAGCGTAACCAGTGTGAGAGTCAGAGCTTAACCAGGGTAGGGTCAGAGCGTGACCAGGGTAGGGTCAGAGCTTAACCAGTGTAGGGTCAGAGCGTGACCAGGGTAGGGTTAGAGCGTAACCAGTGTGAGGGCAGAATAGTACGGAGGAAATACCTCCTTAGTGTATCGGGTGGAAGGGGCCGTACCCCTTTGTGTTATGTAAATGTTAAATAAACGTGCTGCCTCCAGAAGAGAGAAGTCTCCTCAAGTTTTGTACCCACTACAAAATAGTACAACTCTCTAAATTTTACAAATTACTGAATTGCAAAGAGTCATATTGCAACAACTCCCACGAGTGGCGGATTAACGCCCGCTTGCAGGTCTGTGCTGCATTTACCTTGTGCCACACAGGGACTGCTGCCATGGGGGGGTTCCCTTGGCTAGACTGCAGAATGGCATTGGAGCGACTGAGATGGAGGGGGAGATGTAAGGAGCTCTGAGTTGCTTGGGTGTTTAAGCGAGCGCCACTTTTGTTAAGGAGCATAAACCGTCGCGCGAACTGTGGTCGTCTTTGTTAAATGGATAGCCACTGAACTGCATCGCACGTGTTCAGATGCGCTTCTGTGGCCATCCTTCCGATATTAGGAAGCCACTGGAGCTATGTACTCATAAAATAGAGCCGACATGAGGTTGGAGGTGGGGGGGGGTGTCTGTCGTTTATTTTCCCCCAGTCCACACTTGCCCACAGCCCTGTCACAATCTGTTCCCCGCCTGATGCCCCCCTCCTCCTATATCTCCTCGCCTGCTCCTCCCCTCTTCCACTGTTCTTGCTCCACTGCCACTGAATTCTCTCCATGCCGCTTAACCCACTGTCCATCTCCATTCCTATCCCTCAACATCTCTTACATTAACCCCCCCCCTCCCCCTCCAGGGATACAAAAAAACGTCTTCGGTTCTGCCTAGCCCCCAGTACCCCTACAATAACAACAATAATATCAATAACATCAATTGAATGGTCTACCCAGGTCTCCAGCCAGTGCCCTGTAACAGTCCGGACATCCACAGGCTATAGATGACCGCGGCAGCTCCCTCCGTCGGAGCCCCTCTTGTCGCGGTCCTCGGTTCGGTGGCGCCGGCGTTGCCTCGTCCTGTGCTGCCATCTCTCCAGCCCCTGCGACCACCGGTCTTGCTGCCTCTCCGTCAGGCCTCACATGGGGCGCTGTAGGCTACAAGGGAACACAGGGCACCGAACCCCCCTCAGGTCGGTGAGTAGAGGCCGGCGACCTTGGCTCGGGCGGCGGTGATGATAGCGGTGACGATGGCATTGCCTCAGCAGAGGATGATGGAGGTGATGGAGGTGAAAAGAGATATATGGCTTAAGGCAGGTGGGGTGCACAAACCATCGGCGCTTACCCAGTTGGACCTGGACGCACTGAAGTAGGAGTGCTTTGACGACCTCGACCGGCCCTTTCAAGGGTCGGTGCAGTTTTGGTGAGAGGCCAAATGGCACCCGAGGACAGTGTAGCCATGCCTGGTCCCCGACTTTAAAGGGCTTGGCTGTCACCGTCCTCTCCTGTATCTGTACACTGCTCTTTCGACTATCGGCTGATGTGGCCTCGGCCGCTTGGTGTGCCTCCCTAAAATAAATTAGGGAGATCTTTAGTGCCTTTGGCCATGCGTTTACCCTCGAAGGAATGTCCGTCAGCTGCACATCAATATGCTGGATGGGGTCTCGTCTGTACATAAGGAATAACGGCGAGAACCCCGTCACCGCGTGTGGGGGCACCCTGTATGCCGCTAAGACCGACGGGATGTGGAGGTCCTAATCGGAGTGGTTCTCGTCCACCACTTGGGACAGCATGGCCACTATGGTGCGGTTAAGCCGTTCCACCATGCCATTGGTCTGGGGATGATACGGAGATGTTCGGACCTTTTTAGTGCCCCAGATAGAGCAGACGTCGTTTAGCAGCTGTGACGAGAAATTTCTCCCTTGATCCGTGAGCAACCGCTCCGGCGCCCCTTTATCAAGAACATAGCACCCAACGAAGGCATCAGCGATGGTCTGTGCATTTGGTCCGGGAGGGCGCTCGGGTTACCCAGGGTGGTGACATCCGCCACGCACATTTTACGCAGGTTGCGACCCATCGGTGCACATCAGCAGTTATTACCTGGCCAAAAGTACTGACCCTGTAATGTGGACAGTGTCTTCTGCTCGGCCAGGTGTAGCAGCTGGCGGCAGTGCACGTCCATGACCAATTGTTGACGCAGCGACTCCGGAACCACCAGGCATTTCTGGCGTTCCGCCCGGTTCAACCACATGGGGAGGTCCTCCCATACGACATACTCCTCCCCCCCTTCCTCCACTGAGGTGCGTAGCGCCCGTAGGGGGGCCTCCTCCTGCTGTAGACATCTGCAGTCCAAGGTTAGCCCCAGGTCATGGTCGGTCAGCTGGACCTCACCCTGTGCGCCATCTGCCGTGTATACAGGAGCGATAACCATTCCCTCCGGCATCGCCTCCTTGCAGCGTGCCACGCCTGTAACGCATGTACAAGCACCCGGGGGCGCCAGCCGGGACAATGCGTCTGCATTAGCATGTCTTGTCCCCTTGCGAAATACCACCTGGTACCTGTACTCTTGCAGGCGCTCTATCCACCTGGCCAGCTGGCCCAAAGGCTTGTCAATGCGGAGCAAATACTGCAAGGCCGCGTGGTCAATGCGGACCGTAAATTTGCGATCATAGAGTTAGGGTCGAAATTGCTGCATGAAGTGGACGACCGCCAAGAGCTCCCTACGGGTAACGCAGTACTGCTGGGTGACAGCACGCGACTGCCGTAGGCGATAACCACCTCCCGACCGTGCTGTAATTGTGAAAAAACGCTGCCAATGCCTCCGTCAGACACGAGCACAGCTGCTGGAATGCATCCTCCGGGGATCTCCAGTAGAATCTCTGGTTCCTAGCCATCAACATGTTTAGCGATGGTTGCAAAGTTGAGCACAAACCGGCGGTAGTAGGACATAGAGCCCACAAACCTGTGTACCTCTGGAACCGTCGTGGGAATGGCCCAGATCCTTATACAGGCCATCTTCTCCAGGTCCATAGCCACTCCAGTCTCACTGACGACGTGGCCAAGTAGGGTACCGACGGCTGCATGAGGTGGCACTTCGAAGGCTTGAGCTTCAAGTTTGCTTTCCGGAACTGCAGGAATATCTGACGCAATCAGCCAATGTGTTCATCAAAAGACCGGCTGAAGACAATGACGTCGTCTAGGTAGATTAGGCACGTATCCCATTGGAGGCCTGCTAAGGCAAACCCTATTATGCGCTGGAATGTCGCCGGTGCAGTCTGGAGGCCCATGGGCAGGCAGTTGAATTCGAACAGGCCCTGTGGTGTCCAGAATTCTGCTTTGGGCCGGGAGTCCGCGTCTAGGGGGACCTGCCAGAAACCGGACAATAAATCCAGTGTACTGAAAAATGTTGCTCCTGCAATTGTGTCAAGTGAGTCATTGATACGCAGTAGGGAATATGCATCGGCAAGCGTAACAGCATTGAGGCGGCGGAAGTTCACGCAGAATCTCGGTGACCCATCTGACTTGTTGATTAAGACCACCAGCGCCCCCCAGGGACTTGAGAATGCGGAAATGATGTCGGC